TAAGGGGAACCACACACACACACACACACACACACACACACACACACACACACACGTCAGGACCCAGTAGACTCCATAAGGTGGACAGGGACCAAAGCAGAGAATGAAAGTGAAAGCCTAGGACCTGTTGACTGATGAAGGGTAAACACAAAAGGCTTGGTACCTTTTTCAGCATCTCACTCATCTCTCAGAGGCAAGAAAGAAAGAAGGAAAGAAACAACAGAAAGACTTCATTAACAGAAACAATCCATTTTCAAAAACTTGTTTTTACCAAGACAATGTTGGAATAAGAGTTTCAGGATTTGCTACTGATTTTTTTAGAAAATTCCATGAGTAAATAACTTAAAAAAAATCCCATAGAAAGGCTCCGTATGGGATGATGGTGGAAGGAAGACTAATCCCCGAATCCTGGAAGTTGCAGTCAGTGGGAACACGATTCCAGGTGTGGGTCCCTATTATTTTAGGGAGAGCTGCTCTTTCCTGAGTAATGGACAGGGAAGCCCTGAGGGACGTTGTCTGCCTGTGCGTTTAGGACCGTGAGGGTGCTGTCAGCCCAGGTACCTCCTTATCCAAAAGCATAAGAGAACCTGGGCTCCCAGGGGTTTCTCGTGGCCTCATTTTTAGAGGTCTCAGAGAAATGCTGCCTGCAGCCACAGCGGGGCAGTGAAATGCTACCAAAGGCAGGAGGACAGCCTGGTTATCTGCTTTGAGGAAGGAAGGCTGCAGGCTTGGGAACTCGGTCTCAGAGCCCGGAGGCCTGGAACATTCTGTGATAGGAGGCCAGTGCCCTTGAATGCGCCACGTGCCAGGGGGTCTCTGATGTCCTTCTAGCCACAGTCACAGATGGACAGTGGACCAAAGGGTTCAGAGCTCACCTACAGGGGGGGAGGGTGGGGACTAGCTGACTGTGTTCTCTCCTGATAGAATACACAGATACTGTGAAACCATCCTGAATGGGAGCATCCTACGGCGTAAACATGCCTGCTGGCATTCTCTCCAGGTGACACATTCTGAATATGCTTCCTTTCCTAAACTATTTTGAAATGCATGCATGCTAACATGCTTTCTAGACAACATCCTTATTACAGCTTTGGTGATAAAGGCCAGCGTATAAGAGGAATTTGAATTTCGGTAGATTTTTTTCCCCCCAATCATCCTTTATGTCTTCTGTAAATGCCTTACGAATGGGAAATAATAAGAGTATATTCCTCTGTGAACCAAATTGTGATACTGAAACGGAAAGAGAGGAATGTGCTCATTTAAGAAAACCTCCATCTGAGTCTAATGACAGTGGATAAAGAGTCGGCACAGTGATCGATGCAGCACAGCTTAGTCGCTAACAACTTGGGCTTGTAAGCTCCAAGGAATTTTAATTGCTTTTCTAGGCTGTTTGTTGTATCTCTGGTGCCTAAAAAGCACCCGCTACATAGAAGATTCTCTGCAAATATTGAGTGGATCAGATTTCAAGTGGGACAGACGTTTTGTTGTCAGTTGTGGCCTTACTCCCTGGGTGAACCAGGATAAGAGGAGCTTTATTTCCTCATCTCTGATTGGAGACCCACCTGACACGACAGCGGGACTATTAAAGGGGACAACATAAGTCAAATGCCTGACAGTGCTCTGGACAGAGGAAGAACTCAGGCCCTGTTTGTGGTGGTTGTTATTACTGTGATAGTTCACAATGATAAGAGGTTATGGTCGACATTTTCTCCCCAGTCCAATGAGGGTGGCACGCCTCAAGGCCGCACGGGCATGCTACATGAACACAGTACCCGGCCCCCCCCTCCCCTGCTAGGAAGGGCAGGAAACAGCTGCTAACAAATGAAAGTTCTGGAAGCTCTTTTTTTTTTTTTCTAGAGCTGTGCAAAATTAGAGTGCCTGTGCACATATCTATTTCTATCCGGAGGCACTGGAACGAATGGAGGTCACCCCTGAAGGTCACCTAGCCTTAGAATCCTATGAATCGATTCAGTACACAGCACAGCCAGGGATGTGAGGTCATGCAGATGTATGTCAGCGTGCTTGCCAAAACATGTCCAGATGAAGAGTCCTATTTCATCTCCCTCCCACTGAGAAAATTCTGGAAGGGGAGCATGTTTATATTCGTCTTGCTTTGCCTAAAACAGTGGTTCTCAACCTTGGCTGCACATTAAAATCACCTGGGAATCTTTTTAAAATCCTGATTTCTGGGTGTCCTCCTCCGGGAAAATCTGTTTCTTTGTTATGGGGTGGGGCCACAACATTAGTAACAAAGAAACAGAATTTCCAGAGGATGAGGCCCAGAAATCAGGATTTTAAAAAGATTCCCAGGTGATTCTAATGTGCAGCCAAGGTTGAGAACCACTGGCCTAAAAGCTGATTGACCGAATTGTCGGCTGGGTGGAAATGCAGACCCACACGGGCGCTCTCTCCCTTCATTCTGTCCAAGCAGACGGAGCACTGAGTGGATTTGGAGAAAGGAAACCTCTGCTTGTGCCCCGCGGTCCCAGTTCACCCCAGCACGGCCTAGCGAGCATTTCTCGTGTTGCCAACGCCAGACACGACTGACGTGTAGCCAGACTTACCTTTTCTCGCACCGACTCCCCGGGAACCAGCTGAGGCTCGATGGTGATGAACAGGGTGATGTAGGAGCCTTCGCTGAGGCTGCGGACAGAGTCAAAGCCCCGCTCGGTGACCACGCTCCGCTCCTTACTGTAGCCCAGGAGGACAGGGGGGATGTCTATTTTAAATGTTCCATCGATCTGTGCAGAAAACACGACGTGGTAAACATCCCGGTCATTTGCCAACAGACGCTCAAAAGCACGTGTCGATTCACTGTCTGATGAATTCACTAAGGACTGCTCAGACTGGCATTCAGGGTCGCCCATCATTCCAGCCAGTCTCTCTCTATCTTTTTTTTAAATCCTCACCTGAGGATATTTTCCCATTGATTTTTAGGGAGAGTGGAGGAGAGAGAGAAAGACAGAGAGAAACATCGATGTGAGAGAAACACATCGATTTGTTGCACCACCAGGGCCCAGGTCGGGGAGGGCCTGCAACTGAGGTATGTGCCCTTGACCAGAACCAAACCCCGGACCTTTCGGTCCACAGGGCGATGCTCTAGCAGCCGGTCTCCCTAAGCGTTCACAGAAAGCACTGCCTTTTTCTTCACCTTTTCTTGGTTCAGCAGAGTGTGGGCGAGTTATGCATGTTGATACTAACACTGGGTGTCCTGGGTTCACAACCTGAATTAAACTCCGTGTCTCAATGCATGCGTTTGTAAAAGGGCGATGATAACAGTAACTAGTCTGCAGGGCAGTTGTGTGTGCCGGATGCTTTCATGGATGTACAGCACTGACAAGGATGCCTGGCCGGTGGTGAACTGCTCAGGAGGTGTTGGCTAGCAGCCACCCCCCTTTTCCGGATACCCCCGCCTCCCATCTCCACCTTGCAAAATTGTAACGATTTTATGTTATCGCCTTCATGAATTATTTTGTCATCTCCGCCAGCCTCACACGTAGTTTGTTTTCTTCATTTGTTACACGGGCACATTCTGTCAGACTTTATAGCTGTGAGCATGTTTACGATGCTCCTCCAGATGATTGCTCTTGGTGAACAGAATCCGTAATCCACTCCCTGTGTATCACCCTTCTCCCATATACAGCAGTGTTTTGTGTACACAGCAGATACTCAGTAAATGTGGGCTGAATGGATTATAAGCCACTTTTATAACATGACCTAACTGTGCAGAGGTTCAAAAGGGCAGGACTTTTACCTCTTGCATTGTCCAAGCGACAGTATGTTTGTTAGACTATCTAGTGCTAAAGCCAGTTCAGGGCTGGAATGTGAAGGTATAGAATTCACATTTTTGTTTCATTCTTCAATGGCATTTGTGTCTCAGGAGAAATAGGGAAAGGGCTTAACTTAGAAGTGGACATGTCTTCCAGGGAGGAAGGGACATTACCTGGATATAGTCAAGGAGATTCATCCATCAAGAAGGGGTTAGCATAATCTCTTCTGAGTACTCTTCCGAATGTGAAATTCGGCAGTGGCCAATCACATGGGCAATTTCGGTTGCAAAATGACGTGCTTTTTAAATTTTTTTTTTGGTAATTTAAAATATATTCAAAGAAGGAAATGTGAATTCTTTTGGCCAGCATGTCACGGCAGCGTCACCTGTAGACTGTCCCTTTTTTTCTGGGGAGGACTGTAATTCCAAATGATCTATGAGACTGCAACCAACCCAGGCCTCCCAGGGTTGAGGCTTGGCCTTGGCCTTGCTGGACTCTGTGGCCCAGGCAGTATTGCTCTGCGACCTCGTCACCTGGGGAATTAAAGCCTCCTTCCTTAGCTGTGCGAGATTAGCCAGAGTCTTGTGGCTCAAAGCCTCTTGTTGCCATGGACTCAGTGCTGGGACATTACAGCCACTTCAGAATCTTTAACTGTCCCAGATTGGAGGCGACAGGTCATTGAAGAGTTGTTAACCTAACGGATCCCTTTAGAAAAATTGCTAAACTTTGAAGAAGGATGTCTTAGCTGAGTGAATCTCTATTAACCATTCTCCTTGTTTGAAATGGTGAGGACTCTAGAAACATTCATGAAACACACTTGACTCAATGGGCTGTCCAGGGTCCTGACTGATTTCTTCAAGTCACTTCCCGGCATCTGTCCATTACACTTTGTTGCTTTTACAAGTTTCCACCTTGTTCCACCTTCTCCTTCACTTCTATTTAAATGTTTTTAAAAATCTCAGGTTGGAACAGTCATATATTAACAACTAACTCTAACGAAGATGGATATTTAATAAGTGGCACAAATATGACAGAAAATCAATGCCTTTATATAGTGTTTTTTATGTTTCCCAGGGGGCTTTGCACGTAGGCTCTCTCAGGGTTGGCGGTACATACCCACAGAGAAAGTTTAACAGGAAATGGATAGAGCGGTTCCCCATTCCCACAGCATTCCAATGCCAGATGCTTACCCTTGCTTGGCAATATATTGTGCTAAATGGAATTTTCACACATCCCAACCAGTGTCTCTCAATACGCGTGTGGATTCCACTTCCTCTTTCCCGGTCATCCTAAAGGAGGGGTGAGTAGTAATAATCAGTTAAGAACTCCAAACGCTCATTTTGCAGCAGGATTTGGACTGAAAGCACGTGGGCTTAGGTTAGGCTGACCTAAGTCACATTCTGGCTCAGATGCTTAATGGTTTTGTGACCCAAAGAAAGTCTGAACCTCAGTTTCCTCACTAATAAATTGGAGATGTAACAGTCTATGTCACAGCATTATTTTAGAGTTAAATAAGAAAAGATGTATGAAGAGCGCCTGGTACAATTCCTGGAGCACAATGGACACTCAATCGACAATAGAAAAGCAAGTGCCCTTTTTCTCTTTCCCCATTTATGATGTCAAGTTTCAGACATTCAAAATACAAGAAAGATGGACAATGGGTTCCGGTCTTATATGGTGGACGGAGGATGTGAGAAGAGTGCAGACATCTTCCTGGACGGTGAACTCACCTCTAAAACATCAAACAGCACTTCATCAAAAATGTTAATGAACACGTCGTCTTTCACTGACTGCAAGCTGGTCGTGCTGTAGTCCCCATTGGGGGCCCTGCAGGTGGGCACACGTGACCGGGGACAGGGGAATGGGAAAAACAGAAATAATGAGCACGCAAACATCAACATTTAAAAAGTGCTCAAACACAAGCACAGATGTGAAGATTGGAAGCTGTCCTTTCAGTTGAAGCATTTGTCTGCACAGGGTGGACACCATAACATAATGCCTGTATATAGCCAAACAGAAAGGGACTAAACCCTCTGTCTGCTGTCCATCACCACACTGTTGTCTGTATATGTTTTTGTTTTTTGCTTAATTTCTTCACCTTTTTCACCCAGCCCCCCCCAACCTAACCCCCTCCCCTCTGATAGCTCTCTCTGTACCTATGAGTATGTTTCTATTTTCTTTGTTAGTTTATTTTGTTTATTAGATTCCACATTGGAGAGAAATCAAATGGTATTTGGCTTCCTCTGCCTGGCTTATTTCTCTTAGCATAATGCTCTCCAGGTCCATCCATGGTGTTGCAAAAGGTAAGATTTCCTTCTTTTTTAAATGCCTATGTATTTCTGGTAAGAGAAAAGCATAATTTCTGAAAACGAGAGAGTCTCAAATTTACCTAAAGCTTCCAGAGTTGGGGAGACAAGGAAGAAAGGAGAAGCAGCGGAGGGGCCGCGGGTGAAGGGGAGGGGAGGCTTGGGCGATAAGTAGGCAGAGCCTGGAGAGGAGGGTGGTGTCCCGCAGTGAACCTGAGTTTCACAAGTTGGACATTTTCCCACTTTATTATTTTTTTAAATCCTCACCCAAGGATATTTGTTCCATTGATTTCTAGAGAGAGTGGAAGGGAGGGAAGAGGAAGGAGAAAGAGAGACACATCTATTGGTTGCCCCCCGCAGGTACCCCTACTAGGGCTGGGGAACCTGCAACCGAGGTATGTGACCTTGACTGGTAATTGAATTCCTGGTCCTTCGGTCTACAGGCTGACTCTCTAACCACTGAGAAAACTGGCTAGGGACCCACTTTATTCTTGATTGGAGTCAGTTGTGGCACATGAGGGAAACCAAGGGACTTGGTGTCAGGACTCCCGGTTCTTGTTTTGGCTCATTAGCTGCACAAACTTTCACCTCAGCCATTTCCCTCTGAGCCTCTGTTTCCTTCCCATCTCTTCAAAATATCCTCTAGTGCTTTAAAGAGGACCATGTGCTTACCTAAACGGAAGTTCAAGTTCTTCGTTCCAGCTGGGGTTTGGTCCTTCGGCTGTCGTGGTATGGCAAATTGTTCGTTGAAAAGAGACTTCTACAAAAGGACGTACTAAAACCTTAAAAGCAAAAGCAAATTGTAAGAGTCCATACAGTTAGTTGAATTATTTTGCTCTTTTCAGAGGTGGAATATATTTGCTAAATAGTATACGTCCAAAAAATGAAGCAGAAAACAGGCCAGGAAGTTTCCAGGCAATTCTTAAAAACGTAAGGGGTGAGATTCTAAGCAGAGACCCGGCACTGGGGCATCTCACCTGGCCGAGGGGGTAGTCGGCACTGTGGGTTGGGCTGTGTGTGGTTGGGGAAGCAGCGTGCCTTTCCCTGAAAGTTCTTGAAGACCTTGTTGGCTGCTGGAATTTGCTAGGAGGGAAAATATATGAAAAAAATAAGTGACAGAGAAAGACTAATTATATATTGAGCAGATGGTTATTCCAAAGATGCATGGCTCTGGTGACAGACATTCTCTCTAAGCTTGCTGACCCTTTTGGAAGGCTTTTCGTATGCTCTGGTCACCCCCAGTCACTCAGTGATCACTACGGACTCCCCAACTTCTATCCCTGACCCACCTGTATAGCTAAGAACAGAGGACAGAGTCCTATTCTCTCTCCTCTGTGAGGGGGTGCCTGAGTGAGAACTTGCCCTTTCCCCATAAATGAACCTCAATCCCTCTCAGGTAAGCAGAACCCTAAACTTCCTCACCAGCCTTCTTCGTCTCGATCTAATTCCTCTCCTACTGTATTTTCTTTGAACCTGCCTTCTCCAGGAACCTTGAGCTACAAATCCTAGGTAATCACTTCTCTGGACCTCCCAAGCCTCGCTGGGAAAGGGGAGGGGTCAGGGATTCCTAGCTTGAGTTAGGAACCAGGGATCTTGTTGTCTTTCTCTTTTAAAGAGCTGCTATTCTTTTTTAAAAATATGTTTTTATTGATTTCAGAGAGGAAGGGAGAGGGTGAGAGAGAGATACAAGCATCAATGATGTGAGAGAATCATTGATGGGCTGTCTCCTGCACATGCCCCACTGGGGATCGAACCCGCAACTGGGGCATGTGCCCGGACCGGGAATCAAACCATGACCTCCTGGTTCATAGGTTGATATTCAACCACTGAGCCACGCCGGCTGGGCAAGAGCTGATATTCTTTTTTTTTAAATTGTTTTATTGCTTAAAGTATTACAAAGAGTATTATATATGTCTCCTTTTTTTTTCTCTCCTTGACCTTCCCCTAGCCTCCCATACCCCCCAGTGTCTTGTGTCCATTGGTTATGCTTATGTGCATGCATACAAGTCCTTTGGTTGATCTCTTACCAACCCCCTCCCCCACCCCCCAACCCTCCCCGGCCTTCCCGCTGATCCCACTTCTAGGAATATATCCCAAGAAAACAGAAACACCAATCAGAAAGGATATATGCACCCCTATGTTCATAGCAGCACAATTAACCATAGCTAAGATCTGGAAAAAGCCTAAGTGCCCATTAGCAGATGAATGGATTAGAAAACTGTGGTATATCTACACAATGGAATACTATGCTGCTGTAAAAAAGGAGTTCTTACCATTTGCAAGAGCTGATATTCTTAAAGAAATGAAACTCATCTCCAGAGAGCCCCGCCTAGGTACCTTTCCCTTCCTCTCCCCTGAGAAGCTGATGCTTGGTGGGTGGTACCCTGGCTGGATGGACCACTTCCATCACACGGAGAAGAAGGAAGCAAACCCAAAGAGGGAAGCAAGCAAGGGAGACGATGGGGCCTCAGAAGAACCATCCTAATCTTTACAGTCTACCCCTAGTTCAGCTGCACCTCTTGTCCTTGCGTTCCGTGAGACAGTCCCAATAATCCCTTCTTTAGCCTAAATTGACCAACTTGGTTCTATTACTTGTAACTAATGGGAGTCTCACTTTGGCCCCCACAGAATAACACTATGTTAGAAACAGGAGCACGTGTGCTATAGAGAAGTGATGGGCGTGGCCAGGACCCCACACCGTCCATCCCAGGGCTGCCTGAGGGCTCTCACCTTGTGGTTGGTCTCCTCACAGGAATGTCATAGGCCCGGATGATGTTCACCAGCAGCTTTATGTCTCCATCGGACAGGTTTTGGGCTGTCACCTTCTTCCGACCTTTTCTCCTGGGCCTCAGGGGTCGCTTTTGTTCTGCCAGCTTGAAAAGGCTTAGGCCCAAAATGCTAATGATTACAGAACAGAATTAGGAGTCTAAGGAAAAGAAAGATCTGGAAAGTCACCAGACAACTCAAGCTCTGCCCCAAGGTCCCCTACAGGCCCCTGAAAACTGTCTTTCTAAAGAGCGTGGAAATCATCAAGAAATTCTCCTAAGATGGGAGCGATCTTACTGTATGGATTATTAATATTTATTGTAGCTGCTACTGGTAAGAGAAAGAAAAGGGTATTCTGGACCCTCCCTGACTTTCCTGCCTTGCTTTCCTTCTTGCTTACCCTGCAGCCCTTCAAACCACCCCCTTCTCTCCTACTCTCTGCCTTTGCCTGTCCCTGGTCCCTGCACAGGGGCACCTCCCTCTGCCTTCCTCCTCAGAGCAGGATCTTCCCTTTAGGAGCCCCGGGCACATCAGCTAGAAGGGGCTCCCGCTCCTGGGCCCCTTGAGCACTTTCTTGATGCCCCATCTTCCTGGCAGCTGACTTTACTGCCCTTCCAGGCACTTCCTGGGATACCTCACTCTCTGGCGTTAGACAGGACTGGGTATGAATCCTGGCTGCACTTGCTCTTTGATCCTTTTAAGCCTCAGTTTTATCATCTGTAAAATGGGGTTCCATGCTATCTCCCGGGTTGTTGAGAGGATTAGGTAAGGAGGTGCCTGCAGAGCACCGGGGCTCTGGTCCAGTACAAGCAGAGGTGACGTGCTAGGTGTGGGGTGATGACAGTAGTTATGACATCAGCGACTATGCTGGAGGAGGAAGGGAGATGGCAGGGGGAGCTTAAGGGTCTCACATCTCCCTACCTCTTGCTGAGATGATGTCACATAAACACTTCCTGGAAGATGGAAGCAACATGCTCAGTGACTTATGGGAGAAAGGGCCCTGGAGCCAATAATTCAGTTGGGGCCCAGAGACTAAACAGAAGCCCAGATGTGGCTCTGAATCTGGAAGCTGACATGACTGATGACACCAGATGGCACAGAACAAAGGCCGTGGGGAGCTGGCCTCAGGCTGTAACACATGCTCTTCTGCTTCCCTCTGAGCAGGGCTGGAGCCCTCGGCCCAGGAGGCCCGAGCCAGCTGGGGAGGAGCGGCTCCCAAGGGCTCCCGAGGTGCTGTTCCGTCCTTCCCAGGGTCTCTGCCCCACGGAACAGCAACCATTCATCAGCACCTTCATGAGTCAGGCACAGTGCTAGGCGCCTTACATAGGATATTTCTAGTCCTCACAGGCATAACATTTACCCCATTTTTCATATGAAGAAACCCGAGGCTCTGAGTGGTGACAGGATTTGCCAAAGCTCCTAACTATGGGCATGGAGCTGGGGTTCAGCCTGGGGTCACTCTGGCTCACAGCCCACCTTCTTCCTTTTAAACGTTTACACCTATTATTCATTAACTCACGTAAAACAAGAACAAGCCCATTCATTCCATGTTAACATGATGTACCACTATGAAGGCTCACTCCTCTCCAAAACAAAATGTGAGAAGAGGGGCATTATTTGACATTTTCTCCAATCTCTTTGTGTGTGTGTGTGTGTGTGTGTGTGTGTGTGTGTGTGTGAGATTACCTACATTTTATTATTCTAAATTTATTTTTATTGAGATGCAGTTGGATGTAATGTTGTGTAAGTGTAAGGTGTACAACCTGTTGGGTTGAGGGGTTCATATATTTAAGTCTGATTCCCACCATGACATCAGCTGACATCTCTATCACGTCACATAATTGTCATGTTTTTTTTGTGTGTGGTGGGAACAATTAAGATCTAGTCTCTTAGCAACTTTGAGGTACTGTTAGCTATAATCACTATGCTGGGCATTAGATGGCCAGGACTTACATATCTACTAGTTATAAATGTGTACCCTGAAATAACATCCCCCCAATTCCCCTACACCTCAGCCCTTTTTTCACTTCCACATGTAAGTGAAATCATATGGTATTTCTCTTTCTCTGTCTGGCTTAGTTCACTTTGCACAGTGCCCTCTAGGCCCACCCCCGTTGTCACAAATTACAGCCCATCTTCTTCAGCGCTCGCTCTCCCAGGACCTACCTAACCCAAACCTGGGACCTGAGAGGGATACCTGTGCCAGGGGCCCTAACATGACACATCCCCTCCTCTGTTAATACTGCCTCCCTCCCCCGAGAGGGCGCCTCCCAAAGTCTCGATGGCAGTCAGCAAGGGCGCATCTTGGTGGCTGGCACCACGAATTACAGAAACATTAGTTTAAAGCCAAGAACAAATCAAAATGAAAAGAAGAAAGAACATACCCTGAGCCTTCAGAACTTAATGCAGAAAGTAAAGCAGATAAAAGAAAAAGAAATGGAAAAACAGCATGAAAAAAAAATCACCATCTAGTCTAAGTGTAATTTTCATGACTGAATAAAACATTCGATGACTGGGCTGTGGGCCTGGAGCACAGAGAAGGGGTTTGGGTGAATCGATGTGGGCACAGCCTCTCTACTGTGCGTGGAGGGAGGCAAGGTCAATGTCAGGGAAGGCCCTGGACAGCACAAGGTTTTGTCTCCTTTCCACCTTGACGTTGGAGAGGAAATACACGCATAAGAAATAACCCTTTTAGGAGGCCAAGAGATTCAGTCCCAGGAAGGGTCATGGGATTAATGGACCGCCCAAGACCCCCAGTGGAGAAAGGTATCTTCCATCTTTTGTGCATCCACCCCAAGTTGAGACAATTTGAAATTTTTTTCTAAGTGATAGTAAGACAATCACGCATATACACGGTCAATTTCCTGCTTCTATGTAAACACCCATTTTCCCCGCTGCCCTTGGGCCTCACCAAACACAGCAGCTCTCTCCTCACAGCCTCCCAGATCTCCTGGCCTCCCAGACCTCCGTGGCTGGTTCCCAGCTACCCCACTGCCCTGTGATGGGAGAGTAAGGGAAGTATGGCATTGGGAGGAGGGAAATGCTGTTAGACTTGTATTGCAATGAGCAAGTGGCAAAGGCTCAACCATCGTTCTATGCACTGAAAGGTCACCGGTTCGATTCCTGGTCAGGGCATATGCCCAGGTTCTAGGCTTGATCCCCAGTGGGGGTGCTTAAGGGAGGCAACCGATCTAGGTTTCTCTCTCTCTCTCTCTCTCTCTCTCTCTCTCTCTCTCTCTCCTTCTCCCTCCCTCCCTCTCCCTCTCTCTCTCCCTCTCCCTCTCCCTCTCCCTCTCCCTCCCTCAATATCTAAAAATCAATAAAAACATATTAAAAAATAATGGCAAAGCCTGGCGAAGCTGACGTGGCAGTAGTGGGGAGACAGGATTCCTGGGCCCATGATGGAGAGGATCTCGTGTGACTAACAGAGACCCCTCACCTAATGCAATCGTAAGGCATTCATCAAGCTTTATCCGTTTCCAGTGTTATTTGTGGCCCAAATGCACACTAAACAATGATAAGCATCTTAGATTTACATGAAAATTTTAATATAATGCAATAAAAATAATTTTTAGAAGGAAAAAAAGTTTGCTTTTACCTGATATTGGGAACTTCTTCTTCAACTATCAAATCCGTAAGAAGAAAATGGTGTTTTGCAATTAGGAAACGATTTAACACAGATTCCCTAACCTGGGGAAAGAAAGAGGTTTTATTTAAAATGTTCTCATTCTAGGACCTTCATAGAACTTCTCTGAGTCTTCACCCCAATGTCAGTTCAGTGCAGCCCCCACCGGCACCTTCACTTTCTCCGCAGCATGACTTCTTCCTCCTGTAAACCACCCGGCTTTGCTCACTAGTACAAGTTCCTAAGGCAGAGGGCCTCTGCTCTGCTCCCCGCCCGATTCCCAGGACCTGGAAAAATCTGACACACAGGGAGTGGAAGCGTGCTGAATGGAGGAACGAACAAAAACTAGGCCCTGTCTCGGAGCACAGGCAATTCCGACGTGATTCTTGAGGTCCTCCTCTATTCAGACTGGTTTACTTCCTAATACTCCTTTAAATAAAGGACCTCTTAAATGTTGTAGTCACAGTAGCCTTTCTTATAAGTTAAATTTATTAAAGAAAGGAAGGAAGAATGAAAGGGAGAGAGGGAGGACAAAAAGACACTTCAAGTTTCTAGTGCCTAGTATGTCATTCATTCATTCATTCATTCATTCATTCATTTATTTTAAATATATTTTTATTGATTTCAGAGAGGAAGGGAGTGGGAGAGAGAGAGAAAGAAACATCAATGATGAAAGAGAATCATTGATTGGCTGCCTCCTGCATGCCCCCCACTGGGGATTGAGCCCACAACCTGGGCATGTGCCCTTGACTGGAATCTAACCGGGGACCCTTCAGTCTGCAGGCCGACTGTCTATCCACTGAGCCAAACCAGCTAGGGCAGAAGCAATTATAAACCTTCTATTTTATTGCAAAGATAGTATGATGCAAACATTCAAATACTGTCAAATACTGTCCTTTGTCATCCTACCCCACTTAAGAGAATCACTGACAACAAGCTGAGATACAGCCTAATGTTTTCATATGTTCACAAGATGAAGAGAGCTGTTAATCAATTTCATGTCTGTGACTATGAGATAATCAGCCTTCAGGGGTTAAGCACCACATAGATATTGAAAAGAAGTGGACCTCCTCCCTCCCATCTCAGGGTGCTAGCCATTTCCCTGTAAGGGCCATTCACAATGGTTTCCTTACCTGCTGGAGGTACTTGGCTACTACCGCCCGGTGGCTATCTATGTGGCCCTTGGTCTCAATGACATTCCTGTCTCGTAACCGCTTCTCATAGTCCTAAAGGTTAAAAAGGAATAATTTTATGATTTTAAACTACTAGTCCTTTCTCATGCCCTCCTGAGATTAGAGAATTTATCACATGTGGTTCAAGTTCATAAATGATGGTTCTAATTGTTTCTTCTGTCTTCCTCTGAACGTTTGGTTCAGAATTAGCCTTTGATGTGGGAGCCAGAATTCGGAGACAGTTGGTTGATGCCTTAGAAGCAGAAGAGCACCCTGTAATTAGAGGCCACACAGTAACAGTGGCTGTGGTTCAAGACACTAAGCTCACCCAGCAACTTTGCCAAAGCCTCTGTTTAGTATTTTGTTATTGTTGCTGTTAATCCTCACCTGAGGATATTTTTTTCTTTTTTTTTTTTTCTCAGAGAGAGTAGAAGGAGGCGGGGGGACAGAGAGAAAAAGAAAGGAACATCAATATGAGAGACACATTGAGTGGTTGCCGGGGATTGAACCTGCCACCCAGACCCCGGGAATCAAACCCTTAGGGGCGAAGGCCAATGCTCTAACCATTTAGAAACACCAAACAGGGCCCCTCTGCTAATTTTGTCTTTTTCTAACTTAAGTAAAGCAATTACAAAGCAGCAAATAGCATCTGCGTGCAGCTGACTTGGTCACCAACTGGGAGTGGGTACTTCTGCCTTGGCCGCTGCATTTTCTCTTCCACCAATAAAATTCCATGTGGGCCCACGGAGCCGCCATGTCTCCTTCAGTCCTCTCCTGGTCACACTGTACGCTCAGGGGCCTCTACCCCGCACTGTGTAACTCAAGCTGGTCCAAGATTTTTAGACTTGGGGCAAGAGGACACACCTCTCCCTTCTGGCTGAAATTGTTAGATGTGAACTTGAATGAAGGGGACCATGTGTCCAAGCAGAGGGAGTCCATCCACAGTGGGAGGAAGTGAAGCCACCACAGCAAGGGAAGCCTAGGCAGGACGGGGAGGGGCCCTGGTGGCATTCAGGCCCTGTATCCAGGCGTCACCAAGGCACAGATAAACTCCTGCCATTCACACATCTTTAGATATTTAGCCCCATTTGGGATTTCATCTTTCAGTAAACTCCCCTTGAAGCCTGAGCTAGTTCAAGTTGGTTTTTTAAAAATATATTTTTATTGATTCCAGAGAGGAAGGGAGAGGGAGAGAGAGATAGAAACATCAATGATGAGAGAGAATCATGGATTGGCTGCCCTCCTGCATGCCCCACACTGTGCCATGACCAGGGATCAAACCATGACCTCCAGGTTCAGAGGTCAACGCTCAACCACTGAGCTGGCCGGGTTCAAGTTGGGTTTTTATCACAATTACAAGTCCAGACACTGCAGACAAGAACCAAATAACTGAAAATATTCTCCCAGAACAGCTTCTGCATGAAAAGTCCTACTGGTACCAGTTTCTAATGGCTCTCCATTTACCTCATCAAATACAACCTCCCCTGTCTGGATTCATTGGCCTGCCCCATCTATACAGGCCTGCCCACTTACACAGGATTACAACCTGTAAGCCCTCAAAGGTCCCACCCCCCTGGCTCTCAGATGGCTTCTGCTACCTCCCCCCCCACACACACTCTGTGCATCCTGCCACCCTTGCCCAGGATGCCAGCCCTGCTCCCCACTTCCTTTGTGCCCCTCCCACCCCAAGGTTTCTCTAATCCTAACTATCTGTTTCCCCACAGTGCTCACCACTGGGCCTTGTGCTTAACCGGTTGGATTACAATGGCCTTGAACTCCTGACTAAGGCAAGATAATTTGCCACATTAACATGTAAGATATTTCTCAACCCTACAATTCTAATTTTTCTTAGTTTATGTCATTCACTGTATTGAGAGAAGAGTTAATTTAAACATTGGATTCAAGAAAGATAATGGAAAGATTATATAAAGTGCTGCAAAAGAGAAACTGGCATTGCTACTGAGAACATATCAACAGCAAGATTCCTGGAGAAAGGTTTACCAAGTAGCACAGCAATATTTTATTACAGCCATTTCTTACCTGGAATACCTTTTCCATGATTTCTCGGTCATATGCTGGGATTGGCTTATAATTCCGGAATTCTGGCACCTCTTGGCTTCTGAGACACAGGAGCCTGAATCGTTTGGCTCTATTCAGTTCCTCATCTGAAACGAAGTTAAATTCCCGCTGCAGCTGTTCCAGGCGAAAGAAATCGGGGACGTAGGATTCGCCACTGGTAGCAACCTGTGAAGAACAGAGAATGCAAAATTCCAGACAACGGGCGAGTTTCAGCCAAGGAAAGCCGGCACTGAGAGTTTGGGAATGGAAGCTTAACTGGTTTACGCAGACAGCGAGACTGGATATGTCCTGCCTTTCACTTAAAGACAAAGCACATTAAAATGTGATGGCAGCCCTGGCTGGTGTGGCTCCATGGACAGAGTGTCGGCCTGCAGACTGGAGGGTCCCAGGTTCGATTCCATTCAAGGGCACATGCCTGGGTTGTGGGCTCAGTCCCCAGTGGGGGGTGTGCGGGAGGCAGCCCATCAATGATTCTCTCTCATCACTGATGTTTCTGTCTCTCTCTCCCTCTCCCTTCCTCTCTGAATTCAATAAAAAATATATATTAAAACAACGTGATGGTAATAAGGAAGATGCTATTAAATCACTTAGTAGCTATAAAAAATACCACAAATACATTCCCAAAGAAATAAAAATTATAAGGTTCATTTTTGGTATGTACGTTCCCCTAATAGGTGTTATGAAAATATACAGACTTGAACATGAGAGATTTTAAATAATTGTATTACTAAGTGCCAACTGCAAATAAGGTTACTCATATGCATAGTGTATTTAAAATCATATATATGTGTTTTAAATATCTACATATTTTTAATTAAATTTATGGGGGTGACATTGGTTAATATCATTTTGTAGGTTTCAAGTGTACAATTCTAGAATTCATGA